GAGCCAGGTTAGGGCGTAAACAGTGATGTTGGCCATGACAGTGAAGGCATACCTGAGGGGGAAGGAAACCTCAGGGTGATGTGGGGGGACAAGCACAGGGACAGTTCCCTGGGGTGATGTGGGAGGACTGAGCACGAGGACAGCACGGTGGGACACCTCAGCACAAGGCTGCCCTCCAAGCCAGGTGTGCCACAGCCAACTCAGCACCTCAGTGTCGTAACTGAGGTGACACCTCCAAGGGCACACCTGGCCAGGCACCAGCCTTACTGGGGCACCTCCCAGTATGCCCAGTCTAAGCCTCAGGGCATGACTGAGAGGAAACCAGCCTGTCCCCTTCCAGCCACAGCTCACCTCTGCCCCAAGGATGCCACGAGTTGCCTGACCTGATGTCCCCTGAGCAGGGCTCATCCCCAGGATTACCCCACATTCCTCCTGCTCCGTGGGATAAACACCCCATCCCACAGCCCCATCCTGCCAGAGGAGAGGCTGCATGCAGGGAACCAGGTGTGCTGCTCACCTGGCCCTGGGGATGTCCCTACCTCTGGGACAGCCCAAGGAGAAGTGTCCCGAGCTCAGGGAGTGTCCCACAGCCTGTGTCACCAACATCCCTGGCACCTCATGGCACCGAAGGGTTTGGACCACCAACTCTGGCCACCAGTGTCCCTGGGCACATCCCACAGGACACTCACGTGGCCCAGTCCTGGTCCTGCCATGCCAAGGCCTCTGGTGTGCCAGAGCACACCACAGATCTCCTGCCACATGGTGATGGGTATGGGCAGGGTGTCTCCCCCAGGCCCCAGGTGTGGCCATGCTTACCTGAAAGCTGTGAGCTCCACCTTCTCATGGTCACTGCTGACCAGCTCGGGGATGAGGGCCAGGTGGGACACCTGTGTGGCTGCCCAGCCGAACTGGAAGATGACAATGAAGGGGAGGTAGTAGATGAAGGCTGCCCACTGTGGTGTGCCCTCCCTGCAGGCCAGGCAGGGGCTGAAGACGAAGGGGAAGGACACGAGGACACAGGTGGTGCCTGGAGAGAGAGGAGAGCAGTGAGAGGCAGCTCAGACATGGCCAGAGGGACACAGCCAACCCTCTGCCAGGCTGTTCTACCCCAGCACTGCGAGGGAACTGGGTCCCTTCCCACACGGAAACACCCCCAGACCCCCCACCCTGCGCAGGGAATGCCCTTCCCTCTTGCTCCAGCATGGACATACCCTCCCAGTCAGGGTCACAGCACCACTCTGTCCTTTCAGAATGTCAGGACAGACCCTCACTGTCACACCGAGAGCTCTTCCCCACCCCGAGCGCAGATAACCAGCGCAGGGACACCCCTCCCTGCCACCTGCCCAGAGAGATATGCACCCCAGGGCTGGCAGGGCTCTGGCTGTCCCATGGGCAGCACATCTGTGCCCGTGTCCCCTCTCCCGTGGGGCTGCCAGGGAGTCACCACAATCACAGGCATCTCCTGCAGCGTGACAGGACACACTGAGCCATGGGGGACTCTGAGCCCTGCGCTGAGTCGGGGCCAGCAGGGCCCAGCTCCTCCCTCTGCCACGGTGTGACTGCGTGGGGACGCGGCGTGGGGCACAGCGTGGGGACACAGTGTGAGGACATGGCATGGGGACACAGCATGGGGACGTGGCGTGGGACATAGCGTGGGGACACTGCGTGGGGACGCGGCATGGGGCACAGCGTGGGGACAGTGTGGGGACACAGTGTGGGACGCGGCGTGGGGCACAGTGTGGGGACACT